CCATGGTACTGTTAGCAGTGTGGTTTGGTTAGCGGTATAATCCTATTGGCAGAGTGGTTCTGTTGGCAGTGAGGTTCTCTTAGCAACATGGCCTCATTAACACCATGGAACTGATAGCAGTGTGGCTCGGTTAGCAGTGAGGTTCTTTTAGCAGCATGGTATTGCTAGCAGGGTGGTTTTGTAAGCAGCATGGTCTTGTTAGCAGCATTAGCAGGTCTTGTTGGCAGCGCAGTCCCGTTAGCCGATTGATAATAACGATCGCAGCAACTGCCCTCCAGAACTGGGTCTGGCAGACATAGAACATCCAAGCTTTCCCCGCAGAACCGAACTGTTCAGTAGAGTTTGGTCCATGCAGGCAAATGAAGGATCATGGAGACGGCTGCCATGACAGTCCGGAGTTTGAGCCTGAGGCTGGAAGTGGGGCCGGGAACTGAACTGATATATTATCACTATGACTAGTGTCAACTATTTGGGCATGAAACACCAGAAATTGCTTACAAAAATATTTTCTCTCCAACACATTAAGTTTTCTAAAAGGTAAATATTAGAATTTTCGTATGAAAGTTTCAGGGTTAGAAAGAGCTTATTAAAATAAAATAGCTTACGCTTTAACATCTGCTGCATCTTGGGAGGTGCGGGTCAGGGTGCGAGATCGAAGTCTCTCCCCAGCCTGCTGGATCTCCTGAAGGTTTCTTTCAACATGCGGCAACTCAGACACAGCTTCTGTTTCTGCAGCCAATTGCTCTGCTTGCTGCAGAAGCTCTCCAAAACCTTCTGCATCCATGATGCTACAACAGAGAAAAAAGAAGTCAATAAATCAGACTTACATACTTGGACCTAAGATGTGCAAAAAGTGCTCTATGGTAGGTGTTTTGTTGTTCTGGTTCTGTAACAAACTATTCTGAAAGCTTAAACAATAAATAATTAAATATTCTGAAAAAAGTTAGGAATGTACAGAAATAATGCAGTGGCTTTTACACAAGACATACTTGTTTAAAAAAAAAATCACAGGCATTCTTTATTGTGGACAAATATCAGGAGTACAAGCACACAAAAAAACAAACTCTTTTTCTGCAAGAGTTGCAGTGTAGAATGAGTGTTGCAACATTTTCCTGACCTGAAAATACATTTTGATGGCAGTATTTATTAATAATTATATTATTATTAATTATCCAAATGTAAAAGTACATTTCTGGCAAAGAAAATGATAAAATCACATAACAGAGCTAAATATACACGGTTTGATGAATGATCTCCGACACTTTAGTTTGGAGCAATTAAATTATTCAGGATATCTTACAGACCGTTACAGGGTTAGCAGTTTCAAGTAAATATTAGTTAATAGATAGCTTTGACAGCCGTTTGGTTTTTAGTTAGCACTTGTCTGACCGTGTTAGCTTAGCATTAAAAATTAAACTCCAACAAGCCGAAATATTAAAAAAAGAGACCCATTCATAGAAAACTGCAACCGAACTGGGTTTAACAAATGATCTCAGACATGACATCAAAGTGGTGGCACTGGATTTCAACCATAGCTTTGTTGACATGCTGAAATGAAATAACGGCGCTCTGGTGTTAGCCGTGAGGCTAATATGCTAACGCATTCACGTGTCAACTTTATTATTTCAGTTGTTTCTCTTTGGGCTACGATAAAATGACAATACCTGTTCTTCAAGGTGGGTGAAATTATCTTTCAGCCTGTGCTTCTTAGGTGAGTCTTTTTTTTTATTATTATTATCTCTTAGTTTCATTCAGCGTGAAAGTGTAGTCCGTAAAAGTACGTTTACCCCGGGTTTTTTTTTAATCTTAACTGTGATTGGTCAATATCCAGGTCAAACCGGAAGTTTTTTTTACTTATCGAAAGTGAACAGCGACATCTACTGTAGAGTAAAGTACAATAACTCAGGCTCTTGTGAAGGCCATTTGTTTCCAGTACAGTAATGTCAAACGTTTTAAACTACTACTACTAAATATTTCTTAAAACCTTTTTTTTATTATTATTTAGGTTGCTTTTTACTTACTTTGTACCTGACCATGACAGTTTATTAAAAAAAGGCTTAAAAAAGAAAGTAGACCATTCAGGACAACTCTGCAACATTTGAACAGTTTCTGAAAGTCAAACTATTAAGAAAAATATAAAATAAAAAATCCAGCAGAAACCAGTGAGATAGTAAAAAAAAAGATTTAAAAAAATCTTGTTTAAAAAATAGTTGTTTTATAGTTTGTCTGCAGTGTGTTTTAAGACTAGGCTTAAAACATTCCTTTTTGATAAATCCTATAATTAGGGTTGGCTTGTTATGATTCTTAGACTCCTAGAGGACAAATTGACCTAATTTCCTTAAATGAATTGTTGAAATTGAATAGTTTTAATTGGATATTATTTGATATCTTTTTCTATTTCTATCTATCTGGACGTGATTCTCAATCTGCCATTGTGTATCTGTTCCTCCTTCCTGTTCCTCTCAAACCCATCCAGTTGAAGCAGATGGCCGCTTGTTCTGAGCCTGGTTCTATTAATGATTTCTTCCTCATGAGGGAGTTTTTCATTTCCACTTTTGCCTTCGTGCTTGCTCAAGATGAGAGTTCTGCTATGAAGCTAAATTCAAAGTAATTTGCTCCTCAGAAAAATAGTGTTAACTTACTTTATATATAGTTTAACTTACTTTATTTTCCGTATATATGACTGTTTCTGTTCAGTGCCCTGAGATGACTTCTGTTGTGACTTGGCCGCTATATAAATAAACTGAACTGAATTAAATTGTGTCGTTACTACAACGCAGGCAGGTTCATCCCTTGAGTTTAGGAACATTTTAATGCCCTAATGATTCACAGGTAAGTATGAAGTGACTTAATAAACAAACAAACTGATCTGAAATGATACTGAAATGAAAATAAGTGAGAAACAATTAATGATCAAAAAAGTTTTGAAGGCTCTTCAGGAAGCAGTTTACCAAGACTGCTTTAAACATTTTAATATCTCCTGAAAGTATCTCCTTTCATTTATTTATTCAATTATTATTAATTATATTTTTAAAGCTCTAAAATGTTTTATTTGTACTGTAATGTTTAAATGTTTTATCTGCATTTCAAACTTTTGGAGCCAGAAAACTCTTGTAAATTAAAATTCCCCGTTACATCAAGCTTTAACAATGTTTCTTAAATCTGTTTTCCTGAAAGTAATATTTAAAGAAATTTTGGAAATATGCATTACAATATTTTAATTTCAAAAGGCAGACATGTGTTTAATAACAGTCCATGAAAACTTTCACTGAATGTCCAAATTAAGAAGAATTTAAAGTAATTATTTGTGTCTATGTCAAAATTCTTATTAATTTCATTCAATCTAAAAAAAAAATAACTATCACTTTTATATAACTTGAACATTTTGTGACTAGAAAAATGTCATTTTGGTAACATTTAATAATTTCATTCCTGGTAAAAAACTTAAGTTTTATCACCAAAAATCAGGCAATAATAAAAATGTTCAGCCATTTTCAATGATTTTCCTATTTCAAAACATAAAATAACTCCTTTTATTCAGTAATTTGTCTGCTTTTTTTAATTAGCTGGTTATTTTATTTAAAAATATAATTTGAACATTTTGTAAAAAAATAATAATAATCCATCACAATGTACACTCTTTGCTTTTGTGTTAATCCTTGCTGTTGCCTCATGAGAAGAAACTGGCTGCAGTTTGAACCAGAGAGCAGATGGTTGATGGATTTCTGCTTCCAGGCTTCAATATGCTGCTCTGATCCGCTCGTGTGGAGCACAAACCCAGAGGCTCATTTGTTATATAATACAATATGTGATGTGCTCATTGCTACACAAAAGAAAACACAATTGTGGAATGAGTAGCACGACACCTTGTGAGACTTTTCACTACAAAATCTTCAACCAAATAAAGGTTGTTATTTTGCACATCCTCCTGACGTCAAACACAAGCAGACAAAGTCCTTGCAGATAAACACAGTTTTGATTGTGGCAGATATTCTGACTCCAACAAAATACAAGTCACTGCACACTGGACTGGACTGGGGTGGGGGGGTGGACTAAACGGTGATTAAAACAAACACTTCATCTTGATTTGCAGTCATTTATTCCTTGACACCACAGCTCAATAACACGGTAATTTCTACCTGGAACATTTGTTCAGACCCTGGAAAACACAACTCAGTTGTCGCATAAGTCTGTTTTTAAAGCTTTAGTGTGTTGGATTACGAAATTACAGAACTGTAAATGACTGTGATTTATTGCTTTTTACATGTTAGGACAAACGTAAAGACAAGTTTTTATGTGAGGAGGTCAAGTTACTTCCCGTTGATAAACACTGAAATTTGCAAAGTCCTTTTTATATTTGCTGGACGATACCATAAATCTTTATTTATAAAGCACTTAAAAACAGCAGTTGGCCAAAAGTCTGTAATACTTCTATCCTAATTATTAAAGTGGACATAATAATGCTGACAGTTTATTGGATATTTTACAAATTTCTTAATGAAGGCAGAAACCTTCATTCATTTATTTTAACTTTGATTTTTTTTTTATCAAAAGCACATCTTTATTTCTAATTTAAAGTGCCTCATTTCAATGTTTCATAATTTAATATTCTTTCACGTTAAAAAAAAAACCATTTTATTTCCCTTCTTCAGCATCTTGATTTTTTTTATTTTTATGGTGGATTTCAGAGAAAAATTACAATGTATGGATGAAATGTGGCTTCACGAAATGGCTAACAAATTGTTATGACAAACAGTTCAGTCTGTTTAGCTCCTTGCGTTAACGTCGTTCTGTCACAAACATTTTATTCACAGGAAAGCTTCCTCTTGTTATGAATATAATTATTCGTGTTTATTTCAAAGCTGCTGCAGGGCCACAGATTGCAGACCCCTGGCCCAGTAACCATTTCACTGCCAAATCTTCACATCCTGTCATTACATTGTTTTCAAGATTTTTACTCCGTATTTATTTATATTGACAGTCATTTTCAGATGTTTTTATGAAATCCACCTGTGGTTTCCACTACATCATAATGCTTGTCTTATGATTATACAATATTCTTAACTTTTAGTTATAATTCCTCACAAACGTGATAAAACTCATCCCTATTCTGCCCTCATTATTTTAGGTATTTTTTTAAAGTCACATCCAATTCCTAAACAACTCGACTAGATGTGAGATTATCCACCAGATTTTATTTTTTAAACATTTCAGTATAATGTTGATATTGAACAAATTTAAAATTAGTCTCAACTTTTGAACTATTTGTTTCATTGTGCTCTAATAAATGTGAAGCATGCTCATATACATCAATGCACTTTGGTGTGGCAAAAACCTTTTAAACAATTTGTTTTATTTTTTACAGGGAAAAAAGTCAATACGTGTCCTTGAAACCTGAGGCAACATTTTGGGGAGAAAAAAAAAAAAAAGCTTTACAGAATTAAAAGATGATAGTACTTATATTTGACACAAATAAGATTAATGAAACAATTTAAAAATTCAAATCAACATGGGTTCTCCTTTTGTTGAGAAAATCAATCTTTACTTCATCACACATTTAAAGTCATTACCGTCACTTTTTCAAACAGATTGGTGCTTTTGCTTTCACAGCTTGAAAACAACAAGAAGATATTTTAATAAAATTACCAAACTGTTTAATTTTTATAGAAAATAACTTTAAAGCAACTTCAGCATCTGTCTCTGCTCAGAGGCCTCACATCATCAGCTCTGTCCACAGCGTCCTCTCCTAACAAAGTGATGTAGAGGAGCTGCAGGATGTCCCAGTCTGTCTCACGCTGCTTTACTTGAACTGGTTGTCAATAAGTGTCCCCTTCATCTTGGCCTTCTTGGCCTCCAGCTCCGCCAGCTCCTGCAGCCTCCTCTTGCTCATGCCCTTCCTCTCCAGCTGCTTCTCGATCACCTTCGCGTTCTGGGCGTAGGAGTCGGCCACCTCTCGGGCCTCGATCTCCTCCTCTTCCTCGTCGATGGTGGACACGGTGACGGAGCTGAACTTGCCCATGTCTTTGGTCCTCTTGGTCATCATCACCCGAACCTTCTTAGGAGCCTCCGGCTGCTTCTGGTTGTAGACGCTGGTGTTCCCGAAGCCCTGCCCGAACTTGACGACGGCTCCGTCCACGATGAAGGTGGCCGGGTTGTTCTTCTCCTGGTGCTGGTAGAAGAGCAGCAGCCCGCACTTGCCGCACTTTTTGCGGTACTGCCTCTCGATGCCCTCGGCTCGCTTTATGAACGCGTTCTCGTCCACCTCCACGTTGCAGAACTTGTGCGCGTGTTTGGCCCCGTCTATGACCCGGGCCCGGTCCCGAGGCCTCATGGGCAACTTTTCTAGCTGGCAGTCCAGAACCAGAACCATCTGACCACACAGGCAGTAGTAAACATGAAGGGGCTTTTCTCCGTCGTCGTACTCCTCTCGGTCTCTGGTGTCGGAACACACCACACTTCTGGACACGACCTTCGGCATGTTCGGTTCCGACACTCAAGATCAGTTTAAAGTACCGACCTGTTAAACGTTCACAGCCATAAAAATAAACACGTATATACGCTTATGCAAGTCTGTGTTCACAGCGAGAAAAAAAAAATGGAAGCTCAAACAGAAACGACTTCCGGTGTACGTCACTAACTTTGTTCCCGACAGAAACAAACGCTTCTTTTTTGTTCCGCTAAGGTTCGAGAGCATCGCGATTGACTTTTAATAACGATGAATTAGAGCTCCACATGTACAAATTCTCATTTTCTGGGCATGAAATTGTATACTTTTTTTTTTTTTACATAAACAATAAGCCATAACAGTTGACAAAATGAGAATTAGACAGTTTAATACATCGTTTTACTGGCAAAACCAATATTTGTCGTTTCATCCCTTTGAAACTTTTAAGTTAATGCAACTTGGACTGGTTTTAGTAAAAGGAGCAAGCCAGAAACGATTTAAAATCTTTTTTTTTTTTTTAAAGGATTTTACATGTAGGCCCCACTGGCTTTAAAATTATAGTTTGAAAGATTACATGTTAAGGTTGAAGTTTCTAAATTTTAGTTTTGCTTGAGCCACAGAACAGTTCATCCGAGGTCTCCTGCAGCGTTTGTCTCCAAAAAAAAAAAAAAAAAAAAAAAAAAAAAGGGGGGGGGGCTTTAAAGTTTAGTCATTTTAAGCTTTGACCTAAATTAATGCCCTTGATGGCATTAATTTGGCCAAGGTAAAGAACCTTTGTCTTTGGTCAGACGTCTTAACTTCCACATTAAAAATGTTACAGCTTTCTTCCACTTTAATCACTAAAATTAGAACCTGGTTTCAAATATAGATCTGGCACCACTTTCAGGCTGGAATGTTCCATTTATGTTAAAAAAAAAAATCCATAATCAACTTCCAGTGTCCATGAAGTGGGCACCATCTAAAGACAGATAAATCTTGCTAGACTTTCCGAAGTCATCATCCTGTAGTGCTGCTGTAGGCCAGGTCATTTCCTCAACTGCTTTTAAACTCATCCTTGCAATTTTTTTTTTTTTTTTTTAAAAGACCGATTTTGGTTTCCCCATAGGAAATACACCTTTCAGTTCAAAGTTCTGTAGAGGTTCATTCCCGTCAATATTCCCCCCCTTTTAATCAGGATGCTTGCCCAGTTTGGGGGGCATAAGAGATTTGGTTTGCTTAGACAACTTTTACTAAATAGCATCTTAAAAATGCCAATTTTAAGAGTGCCTTGAACATTTACAAACTGGCGCCATTTCAATAAACGGAGGTCAACTTTGTGATAAGGACAAGGTCAAATCCACACTGCAGCATCACGTCTTACTCTAGCTCAGCTTGTTAGACCAGTATCCACAGACTCGAGGACAAAATATAAGCATTACACAAGTTTATTTAGTTTATTTTTTTACAAGACAGGTACAAAAAACACGTCATATTTTCTCATCTAGAAATCATAACATTCTAAAGAGCCACAACAGGAGGGCGCGGCGACAGTTCAGGATCATTATTGGCAGCAGGTCTTGTCGCAGCTCTTCCCTTTGCACACGCAGCCAGATGCGCACTTACTGCAGCCTGATGGGCAACATGAGCAGCAACCTGCAAGTGCAGGACAGAAGAGAACGCATGAAGAACAGTGCACGTTCAAAGTTAGCCTCCCATTACACCTGACAAGGTGAGCAAAGACTGAACCGAAGGGGTCGACTTACTCTTCTTGCAGGAGGTGCATGCGCAGTTCGTGCATTTGCAGGATTCTCCGCATTTGCAGTTTCCAGCTGTAAACAAACGGGCCAGATCAGAAACATTAATAAAATGTCCCAAACGCAAAAGCACGTCTTCAGTTAAACGAAACCAACTGGAGGACTTACTCTTGGCGCACTCGCAGGGGTCCATTTCGTTCGTGTGGATGTTTTTTTTTTTTTAGTTCGTTCTTCAGAGGATGAAGCTGATCCGTCTGCTCGCTGAGCCGGTGTGACGTGAGTGACAGTAGAGGGGGCGGATCTTTTATAGCGTCCAGAGAACAACAGAAGCGGGCGCAAAACACACGCACGTGACGCTGAGCACGCAGGTGATTAAAGGGACAGTTTTGCACACGGCCCGGTGGGGCAGCTGGCTGTGGACAGATTTCCCCAGTGAGGACACCTTGTTGTCTGAAACATCATTATGTAAGGACAGAGTGCCCCAGTTTCACTGTGGACAAACAAAACATCTTAATAGATAAATAAATGGCTTGGTGAAAAGAAATAAACATGACTAATCTTATCTTTATTATAAAGATAAAGCTTGCCTTGTATCGGCAAAATTGTGTTTTGGCAGATACGTATGGAAAATTAATATGCACGGAAAATAAACAATAAGCGATAGATAAAATCACAAGGACAGAACAGAGCATTAAGAGTGATAATAAATATCTTCAGATAGTTTTTCTCCCCATTTGGAGATCCATTCAATCCTGCAAAAATATATATAAATATATTTTAAACTTCCAGCAAACTGACTATATTTGTCTTCCTATGCTACTTTTAGCTACAATTTCTGCTACATTAAGCTTTTAGTCAGTTTTTTGTGGCTTGTTATTAACTTACTTTTTCTGTATATGAATGTTTTTCATTCATTCATCCTTATACAATATGCACCACGAGAACCCATTACAAGAGATACCTGTTTTCAACAAAGAACACATATGAGACACAACAATAATAGACAATCATATAAAAAGCATATAAAATGAAAAGTAAATAGAAGAAATTCAATTTCATTCAGTTTATTTATATAGCGCCAAGTAAGTCACAACAAAAGTTATCTCAGGGCTCTGAACAGAAACATTCCTTCATATATAAAAATAATCATTTCACATTATTTCTCTGAGGAGCAGACTGCTTTGAGTTTAACTCCATCACAGACTCTCATATTGAGCAAGCATGAAGGCGACAGTGGAAAGGAAAAACTCCCAGGAAGAAACCTTTAGCAGAACCAGGCTCAGGACAAGCTGCTTCGACCGGCTGGGTTTGAGAGGAACAGATACACAATGGCAGGTCAAGAATCACATGTTAAGATAGAAATTAAGATTATTTCAAGAAATTAAATAAAAACAAATCAAAAACAGTAAAAATGAAACAAAAACAGCTACATTATAAAGCAGTGTAAAATACTAAAAACTATAACATGACTGCATTGGTTTTTGCCATGAAATTAGCAATTGTTTAAAATCCCTTAGAGAGGTCAAGGTCGAGAGAGGTCGATGTTTCTGTTCAGTGCCCTGTCATGACTTCCATTGTGACTTGGCACTATAAATAAACTGACATGAATTAAATTGTAGTTATACCATTTTGCTACTTCATGTTTGTAACCACCAATTTGAGCTACACTTTGCTATATTTTGAACAAATTGAACTTTTAGTTAACGTTTGGCTACTGAGGCCATGGCCCTCACCCAGAAAAGGGTGGATTGCTCTCTTCAGGTCGAGGGTGAGGTTCTGCCTCAAGTGGAGGAGTTCAAGTATCTCAGGGTTTTGTTCACGAGTGAGGGAAGAATGAAGCGTGAGATTGACAGACGGTGCAGCGTATTACAGACTCTGTACCGGTCCGTTGTGGTGAAGAGAGAGCTGAGCTGTAAGGCAAAGCTCTCTGTTTACAGGTCGGTCTACGTTCCTACTCTCACCTATGGTCATGAGCTCTGGGTAGATACCGAAAGAATGAGATTGTGGATACAGGCGGTTGAAATGAGTTTTCTCTGCAGGGTAGCTGGACTCTCCCTTAGAGATAGGGTGAGAAGTTCAGTTATTCGGGAGAGACTCGGAGTAGAACCGTTATTCCTCCACGTCGAGAGGAGCCAGTTGAGGTGGTTCGGGCATGTCCAACTGGGAGGAAACCCCAGGGAAGACCCAGGACACGCTGGAGAGACTATGTCTCTCGGTTGGCCTGGGAACGTCTTGGAATCCTCCCAGAAGAGCTGGAAGAGGTGGCTGTGGAAAGAGATGTCTGGGCCTCCCTGCTCAAGCTGCTGCCCCCCACGACCCAACTTTGGAATAAGTGGAAGATAACGGATGGATGGATACCTTAGTCAGCTTTTTGCTATTTTTGGTTTTAAGGTAGCATTATGTTTCCTCTAGCTTTTTAGATCATATGCTGGTTTTGGCATTTAGGTAATGTTTTGTTGTTTTTAGCAAAGAGGATGTCCTGCTTCTGTTAATTTTAGTTAGTATTTTGCTCATTGGGTTCAGGTACTTTTAGCATTTAGTTAGTGTTTTGCGATCAAATTTTTGCTACTTTTAGTTTTAAGGTACTTTCCTCTAGCTTTAAGCTGGTTTTATTCATTTTATCATTAGCCATTGTTACTCATTTTGTAGCTAGTGTTTTGCTACCTTTAGTCACTATTTTGACACTTGTGACTTTAAGGAAGCTATTTATTGTTCCTTTAGCATTGAGTTAGTGTTTTATTCTTTTTACCATTTAAATGCTTTTTGTTAGTGCTTTGCTGCCTTTATTCAGCATTTGACATTTTGCTAGCATTTAGCATTTAGCTTGTGTTTTCCTGTTTTAACTTTAACAAGAGAGTTTCAGCTTTTAAAAAAAAATCTGCCGTCATTCAGCATTTCCACTAAATTTTTACAGAAAATGCTTTTCTCTGGTTACATTTATTTTTATTTTAAAACTCGCTGCAAGTGACTTGTTTATAAGCTGGGGTTGATTTTAGGAAGAAAAATTTTTTTTTTTTCAATTAAATAAATGTGTGAATAATAATTTAAAAAAGGTTTAACAAAAGTTCAATTATATCTGTTAAATGTAAGCTTCAGGATTTGGAATATCAAAAAAGTTTTAATGGACATAAATCCTAAATTGGTGAGGAGGAAAAAAAAAACATTTATTGAGATCATTTCTTTTCCCAACATCAACAGACTGTCAGGATAAACATTATCAGTAAAAACAAAACGTTTCTGTTACAGTTCGGTTAGTCTTTGCACACGGCACAAATCGCTTTGTTGGTGGACTTCCGCTGCCTCGTGCCTCTCTCTGCACTCGGCTAGCGCTCGTGAGCAACAGCTATTGTGTTGTGCTGCCTTTACGTACCGTGTGCTGTGGGAAAATAAACACACGGAGGGAGTCGAGCGCAAAACGACGCGTGGAAAGTCGCTTTCTGCTACACTGAACACTCAAAAAAAAAAAAAACTCTCGTTTTTTATGTTTAAATGTGATTTCTGGTTAAATTAATCTGCTAGTGTCTCGAGAAATCGTGGACAAAAAAATTCTAATATAGTCTAATATTAACATAAAAGATATTCATATGTTTTATGTTAATATTAGATATGGCTCATGAGTCATGACATAATTTAATCAAAGCATGGAATAAACTCTATTGTCATTCCCTTTAGGTTGAATTTTTATATGTAGTTTAGTTACATGAATAATTAAATTAACAACATTTTTTAACACATTTTTGCACTGTCACCTCATCTGTTCATTCAGGATGTCAGGCCTGAGCTGAGTCATCATAGAATGTGATGAATGTAAAACCGCAAGGCGTAAAGAGATAAATAACTCAGAAATGAATCACATTCTCTAATGACTCGGCTCATTTTAAAAATAGGAGGATGAACTGGAGGATGTGAACAGTTATTTGGATGGGTGGGTTAAAATAAAAAGACTTGGCAGACAACACAGAAGCAGCCAGGGAAGGACATGCTGATGAAAAGACTGAATTGAATCCCACAAGAAATAGTTGGGAACTAATGGGAACAACAACAACTTGGCAGAAAACATCTCAGAATGAAGGCAACATATTGTGGAGCCAAACCTCCACGATGTCTTCCGAGGAATTGCAGAAGTCTACATATAAAGCAGCTTTACCAGGATAATAAAACTGTCCCCCATTGAAAGCCTCAGATGAATTATTGAAACAAAACTATTAAAAGGAAGTCTTCAAACATTTGAGCACACCAAGTCCTGTGTCAAATTCAAACCATAAAAGCTGCTCTCCTCAACTCTTAAACGTTTTTAAAGAAGTTATTGAACAGATAAACACAATTTTCTCAAATGTGTTGTTTACATCAAATTAAAAATGAAATAATCAAAACTTCTGCTTCAATAAAAATGTTGCCTTTACACTATTGGTGTTGACTTTGATTAACCAGGATGTCATTCTGTTTTTATTTTAAGTTTGTGCATCACTTCATCCACTCATTCAGTTACTGGACAGTAAAAACAACCTCAGAGCAGGTATAGGTTTGTGGCTTTGTAGTAACATTTAGGAGCTTAATGCACAAAGATTAAAGATGCAACATTTAGTGCTTTCTATCTGAGTTTCAACAAAGAAACATACTTATCTATCTTGAGCTGAAAATAATGAATAACTTTACATTTTGGCTATAGCTGTGTGATTGATGCAGCTGCAAAGCAACCGTTTGATTACATGATAAATGTAAATAAAATCCAAGTTTCTATGTATATATATTTTTTAATCTGGATATCTGGCCTGTCTTCATGTGTACATCAAGGACAATTTAATTGTTAGGCATATGACAACAGTAAATTGTTACTTTTATTTTAATTTGGAATAGTAAAAAAATAAGCACAGTTGAAATGAAAAGCTCTTTCTGATTAAAAAAAAAAGAAAGTAAATCAAAAATCAAGTTGGCTGGCTCGAACTGTTTCAGAATGAACAAATGTCCAAAATACAATTAAAGAAAGCATTTCAAACTTTGACTTCAGGGTTTTCTGATTAATGTGCTTTAGGTATAGGAAAGTTTTTACTCTTAGATTTCAATTTTGGACTTTATGAAAAGTTTTAAATTTGGAACACCAAACCTCTTAATGTCTTATAGTGACATCCAGTGGTACCAAATCGTCAAAGCACCTTTAATTGTCAGTCTATCACAAGTTTGTCTTTCTGATTAACTTTATGGGGTTTAGTAAAGTCATTACATGCCATTTTATAACAGGTAGCATCAATTTAGAATACGGTATAAATGTATACATTAGCAACGTGTTTTTGTATGGCATTACTCACCACATATCTGTTTGCACACATGTAAACATATAATGAATACTTAACAGAAGCTTTGAATGTGTTTGTGATTAGGCAATCTCAAGAGGAATCAGGAGAATCTTAGTGAAAAAAATCAGCTTGTCATAAAAAAATCTGCATGTCATAACTTTGAGTCAGACAGATGAAGCTGGTTGGTAAATTTACTTATACCACTGTAATTTGAGTTTGTGTTACAGGTTCATGAAATAAAGACAAGATTTCGTGTCACATTTGATGCATAACAGACTTGCTGACATTACACAGAGGCTTCATCTTAATTTTTTGTTTTTAAACGTAGGAAAGACAGAATGCATCTTCTTTGGTGATGATGCTCCCTGTAACTTTGGTGCTCTGACATCCAAGTTCAGATCCACAGTTAAAAACTTGGGAGTGACATTTGATAAGGACTTAAAAGTTTGATAAACAAATATCCTCTGTAGTCAAGGCCTGTTTTTTATCAGTTACGTCTTTTATCCAAAGTTAAGCCTTTTTTAAATCGTTCTGACTTGGAAAAGGCCATCCATACTTTTATAACTTCAAGGCTCGACTACTGTAATTCCCTATATGCAGGAATCTCCCAATCCTCCATTAGACGCCTGCAATTGGTCCAAAATGCTGCAGCTCGACTTTTAACCAACACCTCCAGACGTGAGCACATCACCCCTGTTTTATTTTCTCTCCACTGGCTTCCAGTCGATTTTAGAATTAAATTTAAAATGTTATTATTCACTTTTAAAGCTCTCAATGGTCTTGCCCCACTATATTTGACTAATCTTGTAGCGGTCCGTGAATATAGGAGAACACTGAGATCATCTAATACATTTCCACTCTCTGTCCCAAAATCCAACTACAAACGATGGGGTGACCGGGCCTTTTCCGTTGTCGCATCCAGACTCTGGAACCAGCTACCTCAGGACTTGCGCTCCATCACTGACATAGAGCATTTTAAATCTAATCTTAAAACCTTTTTATTCAGGCAGCCTTTTAATACCTAGTAGGTCTTTGACAATTTTGCTATGTTTTAATTGTAATTGTTTTTGTTTTTAACTGACTGATTTTTTATTCTTGTTTGTTTTTAACTTCTGTACTGTGCAGCACTTTGTGCACCTTTTGGCTGCTGGAAAGGGCTCTATAAATAAAGTTTGATTGATTGATTACAAGATGTGTTTTTAATAGCAAACATTAAACCACTGTCATGTTGATGGTCGTTTGGCTGATTTATTATTATTATTTTTTTTTACATTTCTTTTTTATAACAACAAGATTTGAAAGCAAAACAAAACTAAATCCACAGTCCATGTATTTTACATTCTTATTCCCGATGACTCTCTCAGCTCCCAGAACTTGGTGTGTTTTCATGCAGGCTCTGAAGGGCAAGGTCTGTCCACTTCATCTCCTGCTCTTTCACAGACTCTGTGGATCCTCCGTTGTCCTGTTCGGCCTCCGGAAGCTCACTCTAAAAAACAAGATTTTTTTTTATTTAAAAAAGTATAAGGGATCTTTCAATTTCAGCAACACAATAACACCAGTACTGGTGATTCTTCATTGAAATATAAAATTGATGTTTTTGTTGTTGTTTAACACTGCCTGAATATTTGGATTATACAACATTGAATTGCATCTTCTGATCCAGTCTGTATGCACTTGAAGTGTGAAGAATTCAGAATAAAACAGTTTTGTTGCGTCTTAAAAATCAAAATAATTTTGGTTCGTTGTGAGCTCAGTGGTGGACTGTACTGACTTTACCAAAATGTACATTTTCGAACTTGCTGCAATTTATTTTGAAACATAAATCTGGCCGTGACTCAGTTTTACAGACTGTATCAAATTAATGCAAACATTTTATTTTATATTACCAAAGGGATGGTAACGTCTTCATAGGGCAGTTTGTCTTCCCTCCAGGCATCATCAGTCAGATCCAGGACTCTGCCGTCTCGTTGGATTTCGCTGTCCATTCTGCGTCCAGCAGCTGAAGCGGGTCACAGCAGAGTACTTAACGTCCACCGCTTCCTTTAGAAAAACCAGATGCTTCCAAAAACAACAAGAGAGGCAATAATTGATAATATCTTAGCGAAACATAGCTGCTTTGCGCAGCTAGTACTCAGACACTAGAGCGTAAACGTTCGCGCTGTTTGATGACGTAACGTGTGACTTTCAAGTACAGTGGGAATATTTCTTTTTAACTTTAAGTGGACGTTTATTTTTTAATAACATATTTCTGCTTTTGAGAAAATTAGGAATAATCAGTATTATAATTAACCACTCCCTTGTTTTTAAAGCATATAAATTATATTTTAAAAAGTAGCATCACCAAGACACTGTATTTGTCAATCAAAAAGTTAATTTTAATTTACAATATATTTCAGAGTTAAGATAACGTTTTTTTTGCCCAGAAAGTGTATAGAAATGTGATTCTCTGCCAGTATTTGCATTGTTCGATTTAAAAGGTGAATTTAAATAAAAATAAACCCTAAAATATAATTAAAAGCTTGATTTTGTGTAGATAGTCTATGGACACGGTTGCTATGGTAATCGGACGCTTTGTTTTTTTTCCAACTGTGTACAAGCTAACTGTGAACAAGCTAACAATCAAGTGAAGACAAAACGGATATTTTTCCTGTATTGCTCCCTTTTTAAGGTAAATTATATACAGTAATGAGCTGACAGCACTGAATAAATTTGTAAAATAGAACATCTATAATTTTCAATAGGAAATATTAGCTAAATTTATTTAGCATACTCTCCATGTCTCATGTCTCCATGAGTGTGCACACTCCCCTGCAAGAAGACAACATGGTTTTAATTGTTTTAAGTCAGGTGTAGCTCCTTTTAAACTTTCCCACTCTCTTTTAAATGTATTATAATATTTTGCATTTATTTTGTTGTAGTTAAAACAAAAATATTTGCTAATACTAAAAAAAAAGTTATTTTAAGTCATTTCCATTGTGCTGAAGTAGCTTTAGCTTTTTGCTCTTTTGCCGATTTTTGTTATGGTTTTCAAGTTATTTTGAGGTCTGATTGAATTCACTTCCAACAAAAACCCAGACCAAGACCTGCCTGATTTCAATAACTGTTTAAAATATTTTAAAACACTTATAAGAAATAGATTATTACGGTAAATAAAAATGTTCCTCCAAATTGACAACTTTGTGTAGTTATGGGATAAAAAGGTGGTCCTAACTTCATTGAAATTAAGCTTCTTTTTTTAATTTTGATTGTTGAATCGGTAACGTTGACTTCAGACAGAATGAAGAAGTGAGGAAATGTCTGCATTTTCTGAGACTTTAAAATCTTGTGTTATTTCACAGGAACTTCCATGATGTCACTCACTCAAGAGCAAAAGGCAGAAAGTCCAAAACCAGGCGTCATTTCTGGAAACCCAGTTTCCTCCTGCATGATCAGTGTGGAATCAGCAGCAACAATAACCCCTCGAAGTATCATGTACAGGACGACGTCAAGTGACTACGGCCGTCTCCCTCCAACGTTTGAGAGCTCACCATGTTCGTACCGCCCCAGGTCACAGAAGTTCACCAAAATGCTAAGCCAGGGTGGGATGTATCAGGACAATTCTTTTAACACATCCATTCACTGAAGCAGGGTAAATGATGGTCCCAGTTTACAAAACATCATCTAAATGCATGCTGGGCCTAAATTAAATCCCTCAAATTAAAGATGTGGGGTGTTTTCATTTCTCCAGCTCATTCTAAAGCTACAACATAAAAATGTAACATATTTGTTGGGTTTTATGCAAATATTAAAATTAATGAAACTTTGGCTTTGACATAATGAGATATTATATTAGTTATCAACAATAACAAATGTTTCATGTTTTAAGAGCACAGTATTTATATAAAATTTCAGTAGTATTGGATTCATTTTTTCTCACTAATGCTGTTTACTCAAAAGAACCACACACAAGGCAGGTGAAGATTTACATATATCTGACTTTACTTGCAAGGATCCATTCAAGATTACATTCATAGATGCATATGCATGGAGCATGTCACAGAAATGAGAATGAACAGAGTCTTCTGCAGACTTTTATACAGCAGCAGAGCGGGCGTGCCCTCATATCCAGCCGCAGAGAGACGCACAGACATGATCCATGTCTGTCGGCGAGTTGGCCTCCAGATGGAGGTTATCTAAGTAGTTTTCCTCCAAAGGCAGAAATTAACAAATACCTTAGTACAGTTATGTACAGTATCAATATTGATTCTCTTGTAAACTGTGTTCAAGCAGCTTAATGAAACCATCAAGACAACAATGCAACATGAATAAGAATGGGGAAAGAGTGGTGTTGTTTTTTTTTTACATTATTGTTGTTATTATTGTTTATTACATTTTTCTACATATGTGTAACTTTAGGTTTTAATAAACTGGAAAACCTGAAATATATTTTGGTTTCAAGAATCCAAACTTTTTTAAATAATGTTTAAAAATGGTCTCAAAAAACATTTCTTTAGGGTTTCTAAAATTATTTATTTGGACACTGACTGCTATTTTTTTTACATTTTCAGTCTAATACCTGATGATTTTCAGACTTGTATTTTTTTATCGAAGACATGCAACTCAAACCATAATCAGTTTTAAATTAAATCTTTAGGCACAGTGTTACCAAAAGTCTGTCACAAAGACAACATTTGTTCTCATTTTCGTGTTGAAGCTAAAAAAAAAAGATAACATAAATTGATTGACATAATACCGGGATATTTTTTCACTATGATGATTCTTAAAGAGTAGACAAGTCTCTCAGGTCCTAATATTTTTTCCACATTTCTCTAAACATCAACTTTCAGATAAGATTAATCTGCTTTAAATAGCTTTTTAGATCTGACACTACTTTTGCCAGTTATTTAAGCGCACACTATATGCTGTCAGGTACAAGCTGGACAATAAATGAAGAGGCTAGAGTCCAAAGAACAACTATAAAATACCTTCAGAAAGCCTGAAGAAATAGTAATAAAAATCATGACACAATTGTCTGGCTCAGTTGAATTAAAATATAAAAATATTAAGGGTTACTCTTTTACACTTCTGACACTTGTCAAATTGTTTGTTCATGTTTAAAAACTAGGGATTAAAGTGATTTGTGTTGCTGTCAGAATAAATAATTTATACTTTTCAATTTGCTCACTTGCAAGATTTTTGTCATGAATCAAACAATAAAAAAGTATTAGGATACAACTAGAAATATATGGATTTCAAGAAGGAAATAACACATAAACTAAGAGAAGGGGGAAATAAAACATAAAATAACGAGTCATTTTTTTATGCTGAAATGATATTTTATTCAACAGAAGCCCTCTCTCCTCCCTCAGCCTCCACAGCTGATGATGACAGATTGGGGAATGACCAACCTTTCAGCCAAAGCTAAGGAACTTAGCATTAGCAAGCAGCTAGCTTGCCAGGCTTTAAGCAGCGTCATTAAAATGTGTACGATGTGTTAACTAGAATGGTACCACTTTATATTCCCGCACAGGTGCGTCGCTGTATGTAGACGGGTTGTTTAGATGTACCAATATACTTGACCGTGGTTTGAGTTTCACGTTTTCTTCGTTGCTACTCATTATGTTGTCTTGGCTAACAGTTAGCAAGTTAGCTGCTACAAACCGTAGCTGCCCAGTTAGCTGCCTGTTCTCTGAGTGTTTAGGTAGGAAGTGACGGCGATCTAATGCTGTTGTCATTCAAGTGGAAGTACCGTAAGTACACTTTTTTGTCTTAAATTTTATTCGTTATTTATCAGTAGAAATAATAAGCTCAAGCTTGTAAAACTTGGATTTTATTTAAGAACGTAACATTGCTTTGTGGGGTAGCTCGCTAAGCAGCTAACTGTGAAGCTCTATTTTATGGATAATTTTTGCAGCTTATTACCAAAAATATATTTCTGTAAGTTAGGACTTCTGGTAACTCCATCGCTGATTATTATTATTATTATTATTACATTTTTTTAAATATCTAAAATGAGGACATAATTATTGTTATTGCTGGAAGAAACACTCGAAAACATCAAAAAAGCTGAGTAACCACAGTATTAATTGAGTTTGTGTTGGTAAAATGTTAGTTTTTTTTTGTGTAAAATTATTTATCTGTGTGAAATGCATAAAAAGCAACAAAAGTTTTAAGAAGCAGTTTGCCTGTTTTTATTTCTTCTTCTTAACATCTGTTGACATTGAGTGTGTCGTTTCAGCAAGTTTTTATATAATTTTTTATTTTTATAGAATATCAGCTGTTGTTGCACAATAAAATTTTACAGCTGATTTCACATTTTCTGTTTTGTTTTCACAGCTTTACGAGCCCTGGATGACAGCTTGACCTAAACCTCGGCTTGCTGATGATGTTTCAAGTGTTTCTTGTTGCATCCCATGACTTGTACTGGTCCATTTAACCAGCTAAATAGTGTTTCTCACAACTAGATCTCAGCTTGGCAACAGTATGATAATTTACACTGAGCCCACCCAGCTCACAGGGACAAGAATCCCCCCAACCCGAGCTCTCCAAATGATATGATAGTATCTGCCTGGATTACTTTCTGTGCCTGCAGGAGCCTTGCACAGGTTCTACTATTCTTCTCCACCTCAAACTCCCTTCCTCCATCCTGGGAGACCCTTGCCAGTGTGGTCTCTGGCCCTGGAACCATGGGTAACAGCTGCGTTTGTCATGATGACAGCGACTTGGAGGATCATCACCATGGGTCGTCGAGAGCGACTCGAGGACAAGCTAGACGGGTTGACCACAGTACAGCTGTCGGCGCTGATGCTGGAGAACCTAGAAGCAGTCGACCCAGAGACCCGGTCAGACCGCCACGCAGAGGGAGGGGGCCCCACGAGCCCAGACGGAAGAAGCAGAACGTGGATGGCCTGGTGCTGGACACACTGGCTGTCATCAGGACACTTGTAGACAAGTAAGTTTATTCTTTTCTTCATTTAAAATGGAAATAACATCCAGTGTGACTTGTTTTAGTTATGCTGTGTCACTCTTGAGAATATGTTTTTTTGATTGATCAACTCAATGCTGTCTTGCTTTACTGCGCAATGCCTTTCTCTTTCTCTCTTTTGGTTTTGCTTTTTATACTCACGGTTGAAGGATTTTGTCACCGTTTCACATTTTACTGCAGATTGACATCAATAAGGGTGCAAAACATTCCCAGAAATCACAACCTAATGTATTAATAACTTGAATCAGCATTTGTTTTTCTTTTTGTATTTGTATTGTTAAAAGTTTTTCTGTACGAGTTGTTTTTTAGGAAATCCATTCATTTCTTTTCTTCGTTTTTCTTCGTTTTATAATTTGACAAGCAACATTATCAGCTGGAACAGCAACTGAACCCAAATCTGTCACAACCATACATGACTCAACACTTTTGCAAGATAAAATCACATTTCATATCCGTCACTGAGCATGCAGTAGCATATTAAAGAGTGAATCATTTCACAATATTATGGAGCTTTGCAGGGATCACAAGGTTATTACCACAGCAGTTTATGTATAAATAAATGCACAATAATATGAAATATTTGAATAATGTGGTAAAGGCTTAAGCATTTATCTTAAATAAGATTTTAATGGTCTAATTTCTGCTTTTCCTTGTAGTGACCAAGAGCCCCCATACTCCATGATCACCCTGCATGAAATGGCAGAAACAGGTAATAAAACAAATGCACTGATCGTGGAGGAACACAGGAAATAGAACAAAAAAAATAATATTTAGAATTGTTAGAGAATACAATAACGGGAGAAACTGATTCAAATTATATTTTACATTATAAATGTCAGCAGGTTAAAAATTAAGTAAGTTTTTCACTGTTTGTTTGATGTTTGGTCAAAATTAAAGTTTCTTAAGATGAAAAGTAAACCCAAAGCTAAATTACTGACTTCAAGTTAAACAGTTAAAAAAAAAAAATTCAAAGATTTTTTTGTTCCAGGAATTCAAACAAACCTTCCCCTTTCAGGCTGAACTTCAGGGGGAAAATAAAGAAGTAGCTGTAGAAGTATAATCGCTGTAAGCCACTCGTGTTTTTCAGTTTTGACATATTCAGCGAGCGTGATGCCTCTTTGTCACGCTTTAAAAAAATTCTCGGAACATTTGGTTTTACCACAGTCTTTGTCTGTTTTAAAGTAAAACCAAACGCAGCAGGACTTCTTTTTGAGGCTTGAAACGGAGAAACTTGCATAATGTGCTTGGTACTCCCCGTGCATGTGTCACTCAGGTGTGCACGCAGCAGCCTTTGAATTCCTGTGTTTTGCACAGATGGTGTTTGCTTATAGGGCACAGTCTCGTGTGGCTTGACAGCAGCCAAGTTGGGTATTAACTTGCAAATACTGAACCTTGGAGGTAGCCAAGCAGCGAGAGCACAGAGCAGACCAACCCACAAGTTACTTTTAGCTTGACAAGCTGCAGCGTTACATTATTCATGAGCTGTTTCCACTGAATATAGAAAGATGTGGTAAAGTTTATTACCAAATAGAGGAAATGCTTGTTTTAGTGCTTTTTACTGCATCTGAAATTATGCTACTTTTAAATAATATAAGAGTCGATCATTAAAGTTCAGTTTTCTGTGGAAAGGTGGAATGTCTTGTTTTTATTTTTGAAGTGCTGTAAGGTTTATTTCTATTATCTCAGATATGTGAGACATTTCACAGTTGTCTTTCATATAGTATTTGTATGTGTTTTAAATTAAATGATTTATGTTTGCTCTGTGAGTTTAGTGAAATTAATCACGTTTCTTTCTTTCAGATGATGGTTGGCTGGAAGTGGTCCAGTCTCTTATCCGAGTGATCCCACTGGATGATCCACTCGGACCCGCAGTTATCACCCTCCTACTAGATGAGTGTCCTCTCCCAACCAAGGTCTAGTCCTCAACTCTAAAAAATTATGGATTTAATCTAAAAAGCGACATTTTGTGTTTTAACTGCAACTTTAATCAGAACAACATTGTTATCTCAGTATCTGTCCTTTTTTGTTTGTTTTATGTATAAATGTATGTATAGGATAGTGAATTGTGTTGGTTTGTCATGAATAATAAAGTAACTATTTAACTTTAGCAATGTGTTAATCCTCTTGAAGAGCAGTCATGACTTGAGCACTTTAACAGTTCAATATGTGGACATCTGCTCATTTGTCACTGTTCTTTTGTTTCTTGGCTCTTTTATTGAATTAGGCTTTATTATAGCTTTTTTAATTCACTTGTGCGTGACTTTCTTATCACCTCTTATCTTTATGTGTCAAAATAAAGATTTATTTGCTTCTCTGGCCAAACTAACCATCACTAAAGGGGCATTAAGATCCTCTAAGCAGAATAAACGTTGATTTAATTCCCTCAACTGCTGCTTTTTAAAGTTTTGGATTCACTCAGAGGCACTTTTTGCACATCTGTCTCAAGTCATTTTCTCTCTGCAGGATGCTCTCCAGAAACTCTCTGACATGTTGAATTTGAGTGCAGCCGTGGCACGACAAGATGCTCTAAACCCAGCTAAACACAGAAACACTACAGCTGTCCTGGGATGCCTTGCAGAGAAATTAGCTGGTACTGTCCACATTCGCTCTGTCACTCTGCATTATTGCAACCGAGACACAGTTGAGCAGGGAAACGCCCCTACAGATATTAATAGTTGTCCTTGTTGCATATGCATTGTGAAAGCAGTTTTATTTTTCTGAATGCGTTTTACTTTTTAATTAATCTTTTTATTTTGTAGGACCAGCCAGTATAGGACTGTTAAGCCCTGGAACTCTTGATTACCTCCTGGAGAGCCTGGTAAGCAAATGCTGTTGCTTAGTATTTAAGTATGGGATTCATTGTATTTTTAAAACCTGCAATTTTTTTAAGACTGTGATTGCTAAACCGATGCCTACAGCTTTTATAAATATCTTAAAGATTGGTAAGATTGTGTAAGAAGCAGATTCTATGTACAAGTGCTGCTTTTAAGCTGTATTATGTTTGCAATGCATGCATCGTGGGGAATTATGTCTAATTATGTGACAGGTTGTAAAATAATAAGATTATGTTCAAAACAATGTTTGTATTGTGATTAAAAAGGAGGTTACGATGGATATTTTTGTTGTTGAGACTGAGCCTTGTAGTCACACATACAGTTGATATCTGAATCTTCCTCATACGTTTCTAAAAATGTTTTTGTCAAGCAAAACACAAATTATTTATAGTTTTTGTCATTCTTCCTGTAGAGCTCCGAGTCCCACCCTACTGTCATGCTGTTTGCTCTTATCGCCCTGGAGAAGTTTTCCCAGACCAGTAGGTCCACCACCTCAGAATTATTATTCACAATTAGATCAATAAAATGCTAACAGAAATGACCTTGTAAAAAGACTATGGTTTCTATGGCGACAAAGTCTCACTTATTTTCTTCCACTTCCTTGTTTTGGTATTTGCATATGCAATATGCTGCGAGACAAAAAACGTTCAGTTGGTTTCGTTCCAAAACCAACATTACCCACATAATGTTAGTTTGATGTCTCACTTTATCTTGACCTTTTTCTTTCTTTATGTTGGTTTAAGGATATTTTACTGCAGTCATTTGATAAAACAGTGAAGTCTTACTTTTGCACATATGTCTGTTATTTTTATTTAATTTTTTTTAAATTAAATCTATTCATAAGCCTGATTGTGTGCAGTATGGAAACAGAGCTCTGAAACTAATACTGCCAAACTAAGACACTGCTAATGCCAAGCCTCTTATGTAGACACACAGCAAAACATGGTGTTATGAGTGAGTGCTTTCTGACTTTGTTTGACGGTCACACTTGTATGGTTCTGCTTTCAGGTGAGAACAAACTGACCGTGTCCGAGTCGTCTATCAGTAATCGACTCTCTGTTCTGGAGTCATGGGCAGACCACCCAGACTACCTGAAGAGGCAGGTTGGATTTTGTTCACAGTGGAGCCTTGACAACCTGTGTGAGTAAATCTTTGTTTGGAGTTCAAAGTTTGAGAAGTTGGGGGGTGTGGGGGGGGGTGTTGTAATTAATTAGAGAGCAATGATTTTCCTTTTTATTCTGCTATGCAGTCCTGAAGGAGGGTCGTCAGTTCACTTATGAGAAAGTGAACCTCACCAATATCAATGCCATGCTCAACAGCAACGACGTCAGCGAGTACCTCAAGATCTCCCCTAGCGGACTGGAGGTTAGGTCAAAACTAGTTGCAGCATTTTAAATGGTGAAAGTTTTATACCAAGAACATGGTAAATGGGCTGTACTGATATAGCATCTTTACACTACAATCTGTGTTCTCATTTACCCATTCATACAGCACTCTACTAGATCTATACAAAGCTAATTGAACAAATCATTCTAAAGAGACTACTCAGCGCTTTATCACATTCATACACCAATGGGACGCACATAAAGATTGTAAGGTTTACTCTTTGCTTCTGTCTTCAGGCACGATGTGACGCCTCGTCTTTTGAGAGCGTGCGTTGTACGTTCTGTGTGGACTCGGGTGTTTGGTACTACGAGGTGACGGTTATTACATCGGGGGTGATGCAGATTGGATGGGCCACCAAAGACAGCAAGTTTCTAAACCATGTAGTTATCAGGGGTTTTATACATTTTCTCCTCCACTTGATTCATCAGGCATTTCTAAAAGTTTTCTTTATTTTTTTAGGAGGGTTATGGGATAGGAGATGATGAATATTCATGTGCATACGATGGCTGCAGGCAGCTCATCTGGTACAATGCTCGCAGTAAACCTCATTCTCATCCCTGCTGGAAGGAAGGTATGCAATACTTATTCTTTGTTTATGTACTGCTTCTTATGTGTTTGACTGTATCATAATTGATTTCTAAGGAATTCTAAGTGTCAAATTATTGTCGCTTCGTAGTAATTTTTGTTGTTTTTAGTTTGAACTCTTCCTATGTGGATTTAAAATAATACAAGCACCACGCTAAGGTTTTATTTTGCTGTGTTGCATGTTTGTTCTGTTTTTAGGAGATGCTATTGGCTTCTTGTTGGACCTTAACAAAAAGCAGATGATCTTTTATCTCAACGGACATCAGCTTCCTCCGGAGAAACAAGTGTTCTCATCAGCCACGTAAGTTTCCTCCTGCTTTATCTGTGGTTTCATAAGGCCTCTTTATTTATCTGTCTTCCTGTTTTTTCTCTTTTTTCCACACAGGTCTGGATTCTTTGCAGCAGCCAGCTTCATGTCCTACCAGCAGTGTGAGTTTAACTTTGGGGCCAAGCCTTTTCGCCACCCACCTTCCGCCAAGTTCAGCACCTTCAACGACTTCGCCTCACTGCAGCCCAGTGAAAAGATCATCCTTCCCAGGTAAATAAAAACTAGAAATAAAAACTGTCTGGTCAGTGTTGCACCATATGTGTTTGGAAAGACAGCTTGAAACCGTCTGTGTTACCCAATCGTTCTAAAACTTGTGAGTCATTTGTTTGAACGCGGTGTTTGGTGCGTGGGTTTGCCAGGAAAATGGCGTGACTCATCGATTGAGACTGCTCAACATTTTTCTGCTTGGATCAATGGAAACATTAAATTATTACTGTATTCAGCTGATCTATATGACGCGTTCCTTACAAAAAGTATATATTTTTTTTCTTTTTGGTGTCGGACCTTTCTCATAGTTAACTTTTATCTTATTGATAAGACATGTTGGTTCAGCATTCACATAATAAAACTCAGTTACAGTGCCTATAAAAATATTCACCCCCTTGGATTTTTATGCGTTTAATATTGTCATAAATCAGTAATGCTCAATAGAAATCGGTCCTCTTTTCCAAAAAGAAAAAACTTCTAAGGGGTTCTGCAGTAGCTTGGTGTAGAGCTGTGATTTCTAACCCAGTTCCGGCCCTACCTGGAATTCAGGCTGGGTTGGGCCTAAATAATGTGCTTGATGGGTGGGACGGGCAGTCTCGGGCTTTTGATACGGTTTTAAGAATCATACAGCACAAAGAAAACTAAATAAGAATGCACAATATAAAATTGAGTTAATTTACTTGTTGAGGAAGAGGCAGGTCCGACCAACCGGTTTAAGAGGTAAAAAAAAAAAAAAGTCCAGTTAAGCTTCAGATGGATCACCTGATCACCGCCGGCCGTGCGCGTCCATCTCCACACCTGCTGTCATCTGCAGTGAAGGAAGTTGCAACATCTACAAAAGCCGAAGCGAGCAGCGCGTTTAAATAAAATAGCCTTGTTCTATATTTTTCCATATAATTTTGCTCTACAAATATTTTTGTTCCTCTGTATAATAGCCTATCTTTAGAGTAGATTTTTAAGCTATTTGTTTTGTATGTTAATATCCATTTGGTGACTTGTTAATAAACAAGAAACCTTATCTTCCTGTCCTTGAAATACATTCTTAAAATATGTCAAACTGATTTGCTTATAAAAGCAGTAAAAGCTTAATAAAAAATTATTTTCATTTTTTTCTGGTTTGGACCTGTAATTACAGTTAAATGATTGGGTCGGGTCGAGTTTGGAAAAAATGGCAACGGGCTGGGCTGGATCTTTTAGGCCCAAATGCAACTCTAGCTTGGTGGTCAGTGTCATGTTCTTGTAATCCTGAGGCTGCAGGTTTGAGCCCAGGTTGCATCAGGTGTAAAACAATTGCCATATCTTATACCCCTAAAGAAGGGAGCAATCAAAAGAAAGACTACAAAATTTAAAAAACTTTTCAAGTCAAAGTGAAACCAAACTTCTACAGAGTAATACCAACTAAATAAATCTGTCATTTAAATAAAGTGAATGCATTAGGATTCACCCCCTTTTAAAGCGACTGTCCTAATTCAACTTAGAGAAAATATTTTTGAAAAGTACAAGTCTGAGGATGGATACAAAATTATTGTAAAAGTCCTAAACATCCCCAGGAGTTCTGTTGAATCCATCATCCTGTAATAAAAGGAATATGGGACATGTGTAAATCTACCAAGAACTGGCTATCCTCACAAACTGAGTGACCGGACAAGAAGGAGAATAGTGAGCGAGACCACCAAGACACCTGTGAGCACTTACAAGTTTCAGCAGGTGAGATGGGAGAGACTGTGCATACAACTGTTTCCCCGAGTTCTTCACCAGTCTGAGCTTTATGAGAGTGTGGCAACGAGAAAGCCACTGTTGAAGAAAACTGATATTAAATCTCAATTACAGTCTCTAAACAATCTAGACAGTAAGTTGAGATTTAATAATAGGTGTTTGAAAAGGCACTGATGTCTCTGCCTTCATCTTTTTCCCCTGTAAGTTTATCGAATATCCACACTAGAGAGCAAAGTTTTGGCGTTCTCAGCCTTAAAGTTGTACTTCCATTTATTTGTACTCTGGTGTGCATGTTTGTGTTTTCCAGACACCGGCGTTTGGCCTTACTGAAGCAGGTCAGCATCCGAGACAACTGCTGCACGCTGTGTTGTGACGTGATGGCTGATACGGAGCTGCGGCCTTGTGGACATGGGTATGTGCTGAATAATCAAAACCGCCTGACAATAAAGATGGTGAAAATCTCAGATTGTGTTTTCTCATTTCTTGTGAATGACTTAGAATTATTATTTTTTTCTTTCAGTGGTATGTGTATGGAGTGTGCCTTACAGTTAGAGACGTGCCCCTTGTGCCGCCAAGACATCCAGACGCGCGTCAGACTCATTGCACATGTCTCCTGACATATTTCCTGCCCTTCCTTCTACAAGGAGAGATGCAACAGGCCTGCAGTTTCCTCCTCCTTGTCTAATTCCCTCTCAAACAGGACTGTGAGAAAAGTGTCACAGTGTTGTGACAATAACAGGGCAGTAAGTTTCAGTCAGAGGAGCCAAGAATGGAGGGGTAGAGAGAAGAAAGACAGGAGATGAGAGACAGGAGAATCAAACCACAGCTGGATTCCCAGGAGCTTTTCCTTATTTGCCTGTCTTGTATCCTGACAATTCACTGCAGAAGCTGCACCAAGAAACTTTCTACTAACAGTGCGTTTATTTTTATTTTTTGTAGGAAAAGTGCATAGGGTGCAGAGACAATACAATCACATAAAGAACCAACTTATTTGTGGAAACATTCTTTGAGATCTGTAGATCTTATCTGATGCTCTTTCAGTCCAGAGGCTACTACTATTTAATCCGATCAGCGTAATGCACGTGTCTGCAGTCTAAAGCCTGAGTAGCAGAAAAGAAAACAGCTCGTTGTACAATATTAAGGTACTGATCCATTTGAGACGTCTCATTTTCTTTGTTTTTGACTGTAGTTTTGTGAATTACTGTAACTCAAGGTAGCATTTTCATTTTCCAGCACCTATAATTAGGCACTTTTACCGTCTTTATTTATTAATGTCCTACCTGCAGGTTTTGTCATTGGAAAGTTGATGGTTTAGCAAAATATTCTGTTTTGCTTTTAATGTCAGGAGAGACAAGTGTTCTAAATTCTTACAGAATTGTTTAAAATCTGTTAAAAGAAGTTTCCCTGCTTCAAGTACAAACGGTAAAGAAAAAATTACACCGTATTTTAATACTGATTTTCTTTACTGCAACTGACCTCAATGCTTGTCTTTTTCCTTCCATGATTTTTCCACAGTTGCTTATGAAGCAAAAAAAAAAAAAATATGCAGAAATTTAATTTATGCTCTTAGAAATAATCCACTCCCTTTTCATTTCACTGGGTATTCCAAAGTGAGCATTTCAGCTGACACCTGAATTTATTGGTTTATTTTTTAGCTTTAATTTAGCTCCACAATCAGTAAAGTTCATGACAAGGGCCAAATAAGTAAGTTTGTATTAATTTTTCTTCATGGTGACGAGATGAGATTTTTTTTTCTTTAAACAAGGATGTTGGCTGTGAAGTCCTGTTTTATTTTATTTTTTTAATGATAGTTTTGTGAATCAAATGTTAAGTTTCTTGAAGCAAACATAAAATGTTTGAGCTGTTGTCTGGCACCATCACTTCACAGACCCCCCTAAAGATTAATTAGGCATCTAATTTAGAAATCACATTGTTTCTAAACAAAAGCCTGTGCTAAAATGTTTCAGTTTTATTTTCAGTTTACTGAGCCATTTGGAGTAAAATTAGTTTTTCCTGTCTGCGCTCTGACCATGACTTGTTCTCCACCTTCTAATGTCTTTGTGTTTTCTGTTAATCTTTGTTTATCCTTTACTTGAAGCATCTCTGGGCTTACGAAATGGTCTTTCAGAAACGGGTGACAACATTAATGTACGAGAGAATGTGATTTAGTAGAAGTTTAGTTTGTACAGCTTGAAAATGAATGGCATTTCAAAATTATGACACTGATTAATTATAAATTATTTATGAATGAGATCCTGCATAGTCTAAAAACCATAAAATGAATCTGTAAAATCGTTTCTGGAATGTCAGGAGACTGATCGGCGTTTATCTTGTTCCTGGAGCACCTTACCCATGGAGATGAGAGAGAAGTCATATGTGGTTGGACCTCAAGTCCAGGATTGTAAAGTTGTGAGTTGTATTTAAAACATTTATGGAGGAATTATGCCCTGGAGTTCCCAAAGATGTGACTTTATAAAAGAATTGTTGTTTCTTGGTTTGTGATATTTGTAATAAATGTATGTCAATGTTATTTTATTGTATGGCTTATGCAGATTTTTTTTTTGCTGTCTTGTATTATGTGACCCTTTAAGAAAAAAGTAAAATTTTATTTGCCAAGGACAGTGTTCCAACAAACCTTCAACCTTCACTGATGCTCATTTTTATTTTACTTGTTAGAGTGACAGCAGATATTTGAGAAAACTTAAATATAAACCACAGCTGCCTGTGTGAACCCGTATAAAGACATCAAATATTATAAATGCATTATGTACACAGGTTTCCAGTGGTTCAGTACCAGAATTGAACCAATGATTTCACTACAATGGGCTTAAATGCAATAATCAGTTAATCTAATAGTTAGCCTTTCTGTTTTTTTTTTATTTGTCAAATTTTGGACATAGCAGCACGGTGGCTCAGTAGGTAGAGGTGTTGCCTCTCAGCGAAAAGGTCACCGGTTCAAATCCCGGCTGGGGGCCTTTCTGAGTGGAGTTTGCACGCACTCTCGTGCATGCGTGGGTTTTCTCTGGGTACGTCGGTTTCCTCCCACAGACCAAAAACATGCATGTTAGGCTGATTGGTAACTATAAATTGTTCCTAGGTGTGAGTGAGAAAGTGAATGGTTGTCTGTCTCTATGTGGCCTTGTGATGGACTGGAGACCTGTCCAGGGGTGTCCCCCGCCTTTCGCAAAGTGATAGTTGGACTTGGGCACCAGTGATCCCCATGACCCGAAAAGGAAAAAGTGGGTAAAGATGATGGATGGATGGCTGGCTGGATGGATGGAAATTTTGGACATACAGTGCAGTCACTCTCTAGAAAACTAACATGCTTAAACATGTACTTGAAACTATTGTGAGTGCAAAAATTTGATCATCAACTCTGGGATTACTAGATTTTAAGGCATATTTGACATAATATTTAGTAAGATATGAGTTCAACAAAGAGAGTGAACAAAAATAAAAGCCTGTCTCCAGTAAAAAGCTGGTGCCATAGGCAGTACATAAAGGTCGTGCCCTGTATATTTAGGTAAATTTAAGTTAAAATTAAATAAACTGATCTACGTCTACTCTTAAGCTATTGTGCTCCTTAAGGTTTTATAGAAATACAAAAACGTACAAATTGTTATTTTATCTTAGTAATTAAGGAGATCTTATGGCTTGAAACTTATTGGTAAAAGAAGGTAAAAATGAAAATGATAGCGGTTGTGTAGGTAGGAACCTATGTGAGTTTTTTTGTTTTTCTAACGGACGCTTTAAATAGAAGGACACGCTCTGTTTCCTTGGCAACAACTTTACGTTTGGCGTTAGCGTTCAGCAAATATTAACGGATAATTTTAACAAAATGGAGATCCAGGAGCAAAGTAAGTGAATTAAGCATAGCTAAATATTATTATTTGATGTTTAAGAAACCGTAAACTCTTTATATATATATATATATATATATTTTTTTTTTAAACTAGTTTATAACCCGTATTTACGCTGTGTGTTTGGTAAACCTTCAGCCGCGCGTGCCGTGTCCCGTTTTTTTAGCCTGGAAGGTCTCATGAAATGTTTGAACTTGATGCGAGTTTATATGTGTAGCAGCTGTTTCATAAGTCAGTAACATTACCAAAGACCAAAGCGTCGCTTTCTCTTCAGGTGTCCGGAACTGTGCAGAAAACATGGTAGAAATGGTGGATGTTGACGAAGAACTCTTCGCTGTTTCCAGGTGAGTCAGTGCTTTTGCCCAATCCAGGTCACACTGGAGAATAAGCCCTCATGAGACAACAGTGTAGATTTTGTAAATGCTGATTAAACCAATATTTATTATTCATTAACTTTTTTCCAACAGGCAACCCCCCCCCCCCCCCCCAACACACACACACACACACACACACACACAGAAAATTAATCAAAATCCACCATATGATATTGTTGCAGCTTTTTATTTTATTTACTGGAGGATAGAGTTCAGCATTTAGTTTATTTACAAGCGTTTGCAGCAAACCTTTATATCTTTAAGATATTAACAAGTGTCAAAAATGATAACCAATATTGAATCAAGGTTACTCCCATTATTTAGTTGTCTGACCTCTAAAATACTGGTAGATAGAGGGATACTTTATTGATCCTTTGGAGGAAATTACACAGTACATACAGTATAATATATAGTTGTTAACCAGTTGTGTGTTGTTTTCCAATCATTTGGCAGATATTAGCAGAGTATTTCAGTGTAATTGAATCAGTTTTTATGTCTTGGGTTGTATACACCCCGTCCGTGGCAGTTTTTCATCAAATTTTCATGGATGTATTTTTAAGAAAAATGAAATAAACTGGGATGTTTAGGTGAAATGACAAAGCATTCAGATTCAGAGATTCTTTATTGGCATTCGCACCACATGTGGTACATGTGGTGGAACGAAATTATGTACACAGGGTCCCAGTTAAAGCCAACAATAAAATGTAAAACAAAAACAGTAATAAGATCTAAGATATGAACTAAGAAAAACATCAGCTAAAAATGCACTAAGCACTAATAGCATAAAAACAAAAAACACAATACACCGAACAGCAGCACGAACATGAGTCTGTGTGAGCAAATGAGCACGAATGAACACAGCAACATAAAACAGATCAGCAGTAACATGATGTGATTTTTTTTACAATGATTATCCTGATTAGGGATTCATGAGTCTAACAGCCTCAGGATAGAAGCTGTTCCTCAGTCTAGTGGTTCTGCACTTAATGCTCCTTAACCTCCTTCCTGAGGGGAGCGGGGCAAAAAGTGTGTGTGCTGGGTGAGTGGGGTCCTTCATGATGCAGGTGGCCCTCTTCCTGCATCTGGAGGTGTAGACGTCTGTGATGGTGGGGAGACTGACTCCAACAGACTTCTGTGCAGCCTTCACTACTCTCTGCAAAGCTTTTCTTTCTGCAGCTGTGCAGCCTCCATACCACACGTTGATGCTGGAGCACAGGATGCTCTCCACTGCACACCTGTAGAAGGTGGTGAGGACTGAGCTTCTCAGACCAGCTCGTCTCAGCCGCCTGAGGAACTAGAGTCTCTGATGAGCTTTCTAGATCAGGCTGGTGGTGTTGTTGCTCCAGCTGAGGTTGTCATTCATGTGTACACCCAAGAACTTGTAGCTGGCGACCACTCCCACCACAGATCCTCTTATGTTCGGGGGGGGGGGGGGGGGTCCTTCTGAAGTCCATGACCATCTTCTTTGTCTTCTTCACGTTGATGTGAAGGTTATTGTCCTTGCACCAGCTCTCCCGTTGTTAAGCATGACCTCAGTGCTAGATGTACAGTACAGATGCTTTTGTTGAGAAGAACCTTTGATGTTGCACCTTTTTTATTGACAAATCTCGTGCTTTTTGGATCTGCTTTTGTTTTTTCAGCTCATCAGCTGCAGACACAGCATTTGATTCTGTTATTGGCTGTATAGAGGACATCATCATGGGTAAAAATAATGATTTTATTTTTATTTTTTTCATTTTAAACCTTTATTTAGCAATGAAAGACTCATTAAGAGCTCATATCATTTTCACAATAGCATCCTGAAACATTAGAACAAATTAGATGTAATAATAATGAAACATAAAACAAAAATGAAGAAAATTTTTATTCATATTTTTATTTTTTTAGAGTACTTAGAAATTTTATTCCTTTTTATTTCTGTATGAGTGATGTCTACCGTAGCTGTAAGGTCAATAAATGTGAAGAAAAGGCTGATATTTGGAAAATATATATTAACTTTAGTGGGTGCTATGCATAATGTACTCTGATTCTTGTATTTTAAAAAATAAACAATTTCCTATTTTTCAACGATAACTAGAAAGCAAAGTTAGCTAATGTTTCAGACATGTACACAACAGTTTTATACATATATATATATTTTTTATTACTTTTACTTTAGAGGAGGACTTCCAGCATCTTCAGCAGAGTTTCATGGAGAAACACTACCTGGAGTTTGATGACTCTGATGAGCATAAACTCAGCTACACACCGATCTTTAATGAATACGTGAGTGGCCTGACTTCTCACCTTGTGTGAAATTAGTAGTTTTTTTTTTGTTTGTTTCTTTGTTTAAGTGTTTTTTTTTTACTGTTTGCTGGTGGCTGTTAAACAGATCGACCTGTTGGAGAAACACCTGGAGAAGCAGCTGATGGAGCGAATCCCTGGCTTCAACATGAACGCCTTCATTGAGCTTCTCATGTAATCTAACGTCACAAAAGCTCAGCTGGTTCATTTTAAATGGTGTAATAAAAACTACTAAATAACTTTGACAAAAGTTTTACTCCGAGCACCTGTTACTGATGAGCAGCTTAATTCAAATATTGATCACTGGGTGGCACACACAGAAAATAAAACGATTGCCTCTTCTTCCTTTGCAGACACAACAAAGAAGAAGTCCCAGATGACATATACGACATGCTGTTGACATTCACAGACTTCGTGGCCTTTAAGGAGATGTTTCTAGAATTCAGGGCTGTAAGTAGTTTAAAACTAGAAATGTCTTTAAATTCATAATTGTATATTTGGTACAATAGTATGCTAAGCTGTGATGGACCTGGCACCTGTCTTTTGCACAGTGACTGCTGGAGATGGGCACCAGCTCCCCTGTGACTTGGTGTAACTGGCCACAGTATACCCCAAGTAACCTGGGGTTAAAGGGGCCCAGGCTATGATATACTCCAGTTACAGTTTGGCCTAGGACAGTCTATCTCTGGGGTATACTCTGGCCTGGGCCAAACTTTAGCCGGTTTTAATCTGGGCAGGGACTGATTTGACCTGGAAAGAAAGAAGTGGGTAAAGATGATGGATGGATGGATAGATGGATGGAACAGAATTTGATTCAATATAACTTTGCCATGGTGGAGGATTGTGCACAAATAAATAAACAAGTAAATACAATTACCACAAAACAAAATGTAGGAAACATGAAGGGATGGTAATAAACCTTCCTGTGTATGTGTGTAAGAGGGACTTCATGCTGAGCGTGGCTGCATTTATCTGTTTGTAGATGAAGGAGGGCCGAGGACTGGATCTGAGTCAGGGACTGATGGTGACATCTTTGACGTCTGTTTGCTCCAAACCTTCCGACTCCGCTGCTTCCAAGTGATTCTCTTCAAATGCCCTTTTTTTTAGTACAGCTGTGTGTTCATGAGACTGCAGACAACTTCAGGACACACTCCACATTAATCTGTACAGACACAATGGCTACATCTGAAGAAGTCTCTTAAATTGAAGTTTGGAAATAAATCTTCGCATTGAGGCCATCTTCTTACCTGTGGTTGGTTAAGACTTTTTTTTAAAATTTGAACTACCTGTTTGGTGCTTAGGAAGCAGGGGAACATTTATTATTGTAGAATGTTTAAAATATTTTACCTTTAGTGATCTTTTAGAGTTAATTTAGCAGAACATCATATGATTGTTTTGTCAACTTGATAAGTTAAACATGTGAAACAGATTTTTACTGTATATGTGTGTGTCAGTTTTCATTTGAATAGTGTTTAAAACATTGTTTTTGTCACATTTGTTTGTAAAATATTTATAAATAAAACTTCTGAAATACTCAAATGTATGTGCTTTACTTGAAATGCACAGCCCAAAACTAATCTCTTGTATATAAATGCAAAGATTGAATGCTCATGGAGCCGGACTGGAATCAACTGGTTCTGATTCTCTCTCTTTTAAGATTCTCTTGAGTCAATTTAAGTCGTTTATTTTATTTTTTTTTATTCAATATGCATTTAGTTTTCTGCACATTTTCAGTTTCTGTCCCATTGCCACCATAATGCATTTGACATCTGCTGTAGTGTCTGTATAAAGGCATGCAAGTTTTGATCATGGGAGAATCAAAATTAGGTGTGAAGGTGATTTTTCTCTTGCTGTGGAGTAAAAATATTCTGGAAAAAAGAATAAAAAGATGTCTTGAATGGAAGAAAAAGTTTGGATCAAATAATTATGAATTCAGGTGGTCTTCCACATTTACGCCTTTATTGTTGGGCAGCAAACTTGCATCGTCTTGCATTCTGGTCATTCTATAAAACAGGCCTGGCTGCCGATGGAGTCCCGGTGTTCTGGGAAATGGTCCACGCTGGTCTTCTTGGGATCCTCTCTCCTGCTTCCACTATTTACAACTATTACAAACCCAGTTGTGAAACACTAAAAATCTGGACACAATTTCAGAAATGTTTTGATCTCTTTAAATTCTCTCTCTGTGGTCCTGTCATGTCTAATCAACTCTTCAAACCCTCATCTCAGGACTCTGGTTCCAAAGGCAGAGAAGGGGCATAGTACGCTTCAAACACTTGTTTCTCAATAACATGTTAGCTTTATTTCAACAACTAAGTGGAAAATTTAGCCAAATACGGCACTTTACTCTTTTTTCATTTGTCCAGCCTCTCCATTTCAACAGACTATGGTTGACACTATTCATTCTCTAGACCAGGGGTCTGCAACATGCGGCTCAGGAGCCACACACGGCCCTTTTGGTCCCTCTGCAGCAGCTCTTTCAAACTTTGACCAAAACTGACATAAAACTGAATTTTATTGGTTATACAAACAATAAAAAAGAACTAGTTCAAACTTTTTTCCTGTCATTTCTTTTGCAAATATGTGAACACTGGAGCGAATACAAGGAGTAAAACATACTCACTTTAACTTGATGATTTATTTCTTTATATGAAGAACGGTTTTCATAGTTTATAATTTTTTTAATAAAAAAAAGGTAAAAACTGATTTTGTTCCCCCTTCTTTACAAGAATCTTGTCTTTTTCTTTAATGTTAAAAATCATTAGATATGTTTTGCTTTATAATGTCACCCCTACTGGCCAAAAAAGCCTCCTCCAGCAAACCTAAAGTGGCTCAGAGGCCACCAGTTGATAACCACAGTTGTAGCAGGTTGTTGTGGCTCCGGATACGTGTAGTGAACGAAGGCGTAAAAATGGCTCTTTTGATCGTAAAGGTTGCAGACCTCTGCTTTAGGCCCTAATAAAAATAATTGTATTTTCTCCATTTATAGCAGACTACTGAATTTGAAGAGCTTCCTGAGATAAACTCAAAACTGCTTGGGAAGAAGATCTTGTCTCCTCTATTACAAACGACTGGAGCTCCATACTCAGACTGGTGATCTCCAGTTCCCTGTGCGCTAGACATCGTTTAATCCAATTTAAAGTGGTGCACAGAGCTCACATCTCTAAACTGATACTGTACTGTACTGTGTAAGATGCAAATATGCTGAAGCATCTCTCTCCCACACGTTTTGGTTTTTCTCACCTCGGAACAAATACTGGAGGGAAATATTTCACACTTTATCACGTGTACTCGTGTACACGTCTGAGCCCTGACACACTGAGTGCACTGTTTAATTGCAGAGGGAGTGCACTGGACAAAAAGGCCTAATATCCGGGGAGATACAACAGTATGCAA